GTAAGCCAAGTGACTTGATCTACCCACGAGCCTGAGTAAGAAGGCCTTCCTGACCTGTTCAAGAGGTGATGTTAAGTATCTATAAATGGTTATAATCTTGGAGAAAGCAAGAATTTCAGTCAAGATGCCAAAGTTACAGGGATATACGTTTATGGATATGAGAATACAATATATGACTTCAGGGGGTTCTATAAAAGAGAAATGTATACACAGCTTCTTTGAGAGGCATTCTTGCACCTGCTAATACTAGTGACCTCTATGCCCTTTGATACTGCAGCCTTGCATATTGCAGAACCCACAAAGCCACTGCCTCCTAATATCACAATCTGGTTATGAAAAAGGCGAGTGGTAGTTAGTATAAAATAAAACTACAGCTTGAGTGTGTTATTATGAAATAGATTAGTGGAATTAATCTGAAAAAACTTACTCGTTCAGTCTTAACCTCTGCCACAACATCAATTGTGCTACTATCAGGATTGTTCCTAATGCCAGGATCAGTGTAACTGCATTTGATGCCGACTTTGTGTGATCTACAAGAAGCAATAACAAAATAACTTTGCATCACGGACGGGAAATATGATAACGCACACACATAATGTCAGTCCAATTAAACATAAACTGCCAATAATTCCTAATTTGTAATGAAATTGCAACAAAGGCCTATGCCATATAAAGGCTAAGCTGTCACTAAAGAACTCGGCCCAACTTGGTATTATATCATAAACTCCAGTGATCTGCGCTAAATTGGAAACTTCAAGAAAAAAATTGCTGATTGCAGATCATTGTTCCAAAGAATAACCGGAAACTCTGTTCTCGGGACTCAGGAGGTGTCATATCAGCCAATATACACTAATAAATGAGTAGTCATGTCAGTTACTGTTTGAAATTAAACGATGTCTCAAATCTTTGATAGTTTTTGTATCTGTTTGGAGTTTGTCAGCGGTGAAGGTTGGCTAACGTCTTCTAAACAGCTGGCTTATGAGTAAGATTGGGCCACATCACTTCCTAACTTAAGTACGGTTTAACAAGAAAGATGACACGTGATGTACACATACTTATCATGAAGATGAGTGTCATAATTTTACTAGGCTACACAAAGTGTAAACCAGTACAGAAAGAAAGAATAGGAGTATAGAGTTAAAAGCAAGAAGAAAAAAATAATAGATCAAACACATCCTTGAACATTTCCAATGACGAATAGCACCTTAATTGTGGAGCAGATGCAACACATCTGATTAAGATATCTAGACTGATCTACCAAACTAATTTACAGCTAGGTTATTCAATTTCAAGCAAAGAAAGTTTATTTCAGATCTCAACTGGTGAGATAAGATGACCAATATAAAACAGTTCGCTACTACTGTAACTAGATTACTTATCACTTATCAGTTAATAGCTTAAAGAGTTGCAAGGATTCGCGAGAACTTTTCGGATTATCAGTAAACTCAGAGCTTTTTACAACCCTGGTATAACACATAAGCCACATATCTTCATCAATATCAACAAGCAACCAGTTATAGCTAAACAAGTGAGTCAAATATACAAAAACTGAACTTTGTGTTCCTGCATGTTTTCATAACAGCCAAATTGAACTATTTAAGGGGGAAACGAAAAGAAAACACGCATAAACACACACTAGCATATCTATCTGAGTCAAAATGCCAAGAACAACCGAGCATCCTCTTCAATCCTACCTCAATATCTTCGTAACACGACGAAAATTGGAACATAGTTTGGAGGCTAGACAAAAATTCAAATTATTTGAATTACCCTTTGAAAGATTGCTTATTGACGAGCCCAAACCGATTGTAAGAGAGCTTGAGACAATTAGGGCTCCCACAAAAAGAGGGGAGTAGTAAGGTTGTGCTGGATTGTGAAGCTGCTGGGGAAATGGAGGCAACGCAAGGCAGTGACGTCATCTCCCCCAACCTGTGATAATTATCGTAAAAAATAATTGCAGCTTGGGAGTGATGGCTTAGCAATCACCAGATTTTCAAGGAATGTTTT